CAATGACATGTTTATGTAGAGTCACACCAGAACTCCTTTTACCTTGAAAAAGTTTTTTTTTTTCAATATGTCAGCAAATGATAAAGCTTTTTCATCTTCTTGAGGCAACGTGAATCAGTGTTCTCATTTACGGCGTCCCAATATGTAAAAAACGCAATGAAATTAAAAAGGACGTAAAATAATCAACACCCTTTCGTCCCAGGGACGAAAAAAAATGCGGTCCTGTTTAGGCGGGTGATTAGTGGGAGAGATAAAAAAACAACTGAAAGGGATGATTATCTTAGTGACCACGGAAATTATACAGAATGAGTGATGTGATTGGTGAAACTAGCGTATTAATTTACAAAAACACACCGTGTTTGGCAGTTTGCTGGGCCTGTCACGTCACTTAGTGCGCCATCTACCGAATGACGCAATACGCAAAATGGCGCTCATTACGGCCGAGGTTATCCCTGACGAAAAAGACCGAGGGGTGCCGAATGCAGGTGGTTGTAATGTCTCAAAATGGCGCAGTCCCATGCTAAAAAAAGATCCGGACTTTCAACAAAACCTGGCTGGAAGATCCCAGTTTTAAAGACTGGCTTTATGTCACGGACAACTTTATGTTTTGCTCCATTTGTAAACGTGCCAAGAAGAGTAACGTTTTTACAACTGATCCGGGATGCAGTGATTACCAGAGATCTACACTTGTTCGACACGTGCAGTCCGAACAACATAAGCAAGCGGCTTCTACTCTTAAGGGCCAGTCAGCTCTACAGCGGGCTATATCCACAGCGGAACAAAAAACAGATGACAACCTCGGTCATCAGATGAAAACTGTGTACTTTTTGGTATCTCATAACTTGGCTCTAAATCTCTACCCGGACCTTTGCCTACTTCAGTCAATGAAGGGACACTATACGTCAGCTGGAGTGGTAAATGAAATGGTTCAGTGTCTGTCAGATACTATTGAGGATGACATGAAAAATGCCATAGAGAAAAGTAAATACATAGGCATTCAAGTGGATGAAAGTTGCGACATTGCAATTTTCAAAAAATTGATTATTTATGTCCAGACTTTTGTAGGTGGAAAAGCCAGAACTTCTTTCTCTTTTCTATTTCTAAAACAGAAAAGTACTGGTTTTATTTGACAGAAACTTACTGAGTTTCGTTCTCTAGTAGACTAGTCCTGGTACAATGAGTCTGCAGAATTTTATTTTTAAAAAGATGTTTTGTAAGATGTTATATTTTTATTTTGCTATATTTTTACATAATTTTGACCTGTTACATGTATTTCAATAAACACATTTGTGCAATTCTAAATGGTACTTATTTTTTTTTCTTCTTCAAGAGAAGGACTCGGAAAATTTACATGGGACTCACATTTTGTCAAACATGTGAGTCCCATGGACTCGGATTTTAAAAAAATTATTGAGAACACTGTGAATCATGCTAAACACCTGCCATATATCCTATACTGCATTAGTACCTGCTAATTAGCTTAGAAGAAACTTATAACCCTAAATTTCTAGGAAGCTTCTTTAAGGCGTTTATCAAATTTTCTACACACACAATTAGTTATCAAAATGGGTTAATCCAGGTTATCACTTTGCCTTAAAATTTTATAAAAAATGTTTAAATGCAGAAAATTGCAGGGCATTTGCTAAATAACTGACATAATATTTCTCTACATATTTTTGAAATGAAGGTATCTGAATGTCAAAAGGCACTTAAATTTAAAAATCAACTTTCTATCTGTTCTGTATCATCCTTTGGATGTTGAAGTTAGACTTCATGATGACTTCAGTTGCTTATTATGCACCATGTTATTTGGAAATCAAAAACACATGGGATTTGGTCACAAAATTTGATCTTTCTTATCTTGAAATTGAACTGAATAAATGTTTCTGTTTTTCAACTTTGACCCGTTAAGATACTTGGCTGCTTATGGTAAGTCTTAAATTCTTAAAATTAGAACAATTCTATTGAGTTGTAGCAACAAACTTGGAAAACTGGCTGCCCTATAGTACTATTCTATACCGCCAAAGCACCAAAAGTAGTATACACAATAATACAATACAATTTAAAAGATTCCAAAATATTGTTTCTGAAATATTGAAATAATTTCCCCACTGAAAAGAACCAGTCATTACCGTACTGGAAGATTGGTCAGTTAAATCATTTGATAACATATATATCTTCTCCAATTTGTCCATGATGGCTCTAAATCAAAAATAAATTTTCTCAAGAAAACCTAATATTGACACCAATGGCTTATGTTAGATTTATGTCATTGTGCTTCATTTTAATGATTTAAACCTCACTGTCACAAATATTACACAAATATTATATAATTCAACATTGAAAAGAGGTCTATAAATTATTACACAACATGCTGCTAGTACACGAGTTAACTCTTATGTTTGACATAAACATGCACGTTTTGTTTAACATCAACGCATACTTTTTCAAAATAACTTAGCTGCTTACTTAACCCTAGCTGTTTATTTTTACCTAAGTGGAATGTAATGGGAATCATCATAATTTGTTGCATTTCATGTAAGGATTACACTGGGAAAAATTATGACACTCAGTGGAAATGGAGATCAATTCCCACAGTGCCTATATGCTTTTCCTACATTATCAGCTGACCCTTAAACTTGTTTTTTTTCTGTTGGTATTAATTTCCCATAGGTAAATTAATGACTATGAGCACCGATGAAGTAAGTTAATTAAAGTGACAGCTCATATTGCCTAAGATGCAGGTGTTTCTACACCTATACACCCTTCATCCCCACCTGTCAAAATTCTCATTAAAACAATAACATTAATAAGGTAACAGTAATGAAAAATTTACTTCTCACCAGGAGCTTTTTGATATAACACTCCCACATCATCTGTGATAATATGTCATAACTGATGTATTCAGAATTGATATTTACATAATACAAAGGGACACACTGGGGACGTCAGATATCACTATGGAGGGGGTGGAGAGTACTCAGGCATATAAAATTTTTCATTAGGCTAAGTATGTTAGCATGTAATATCTTCGCTGTGAAAGCATTTTCTGACCCAGATGATACCTATTTCCCCAGAATACCATATGATTTTCATCTTACAGTGCCTGTAAACTGTAAGTAACTGTTTGGTACTTACCTCCATATAAAATGGAGGTGGGTGGAACACCATGGAGATTAGATGTACTTCCTTTGGTGAGCTAATCGCTATACAGAAAGGAACTGGCACATTCTGATTGAATGAAAAAGTGCCAAAATGAAATTAAAGCTGTCAAAAGAGGCCCCAATCCTCCCTTAGGTCTCTCACCCTCCCCCCTCCCCAAAAAAACAAAAAACTATTGTACCGACTGAGTTGACTGACCTGTATCATAGCACTCAGTCTTAATGAAATGGTTCTATATAGATCAATCCAACGCGGGACTCTTGCTGAATGTGATCAGGTAAACAGATTAACCATCCTCCTTTTGTTTCTAACATGTACTTGCATAATAACCAGCTTTTATTTCTGTATTCTGATCAATGCCAGGAGGAGGCGTGTTAATCTGATTGCATTCAGCAAGAGTCCCCACAGAGTTGAATTGATCTATGTAGAACAATAGTTTTATTGGGAAAAAACCCATAGTCACCATCACAATGGCTCATCAGAAGTGAAGTGGGGAAAATGAATGTGGAGAAACACAAGTTTGAATATACCTATAGTGCCATCGGATTTAAAAGTTGGCTGGGAGAAAAAATGTAACACTGGAAGAAAACAGCAGTAAATCTTGACAGCTGTAAATTTGTGGAAACCAAGCGGAAAAGGCAGTAAGGCTTAAACTTGTGTGTGGAAGTTGGCAAGCCCAATAATTAACACTTTTTATCCCTAGGTAAACTGTTAATATCCGAGAGAAAACACCTCATTATTGCAAAACAGTAAAACAAGGTAATATAGTAGCAACCTGACTGACTGGCTAACTGCTACACTTATTTGACTGTATCTATACTAGTATTCTTTCCTTTTTAAAGAGCCTGTACATATTTTATAATCATCTAGAATTCATTTTTCTTCTCATTACTGCAAAATTATCAATGTTATCATTTTGACTCAAAACCCAACAAGGCTATCTAATAATCATCTCCTCCATTAACTGAAACATAACATGTTTCACTTGCACTCCAAGAAAACATGACATTGTACAGAAATAGGCATATATATAAAAACTGTCAGTAATATGTTTTCCAATTTCCATTAATTAGCCAATGAATTAATGTAGCAAAAATTGGCATTGGAAGAACTGAACAGAAATGACTTAATTAATTGGAGTTAAGCTAAAGTAAGTATACCCACTCTGATAAGGGACAGCACTCTGTTTCTTGCCTCTAATTCTTCCACTCCAAGAAATATATACATTGTAACAAGAAGAAAAAAAAAGCATTTTCCATACAGTCACTGTAAAGGGAGGCAGACCACTCTATTGCCATCTAATCAAATCAGACATTTGAAGTAATAATTGATTTTATAATTTAAATGTTTTTTTATTGTTACAGTACAAATCAATTCATTTCCTGTGTAATACAAGTGCATTGATTTTAAAGTCCATGGAAGTCTATATTTGCCCAGGCAAACTGCCTAGAATTAATATAATTTATCAGAGAACTAAACTGTGGTTTCTACCAAATACGAAGAGGTTTTCATAATACTTTGTATTTCGCATAATACTTTGTATTTCGCATTTTACCGATGTTTTGTGTGTGTGTGGGGGGGGGGGGGGGGGCAATCAGTCAACGTTCCTCTAAGTCTGTAGCGTAGACTACAAGGATGAAAACTAAATAACAAAAAATGAAAAACAAGCAAATCACATCAAAACATTAACAAAACATTAAACAGTTAACGCTATCTGAGTCAGAACATAACTGCCCAGGAACTCCAGTATAAATAATTACAGCGACAAACCCATAAGCGTCGTGCGTTGTTTTTAACCGCAACGCGCAACAACCTGTGAGTCTTGGTGTTAGGCTTACCGTACACAAGACCGGCAACTCCACGAACGCTCGCGCCTGCAGTTAACCAGCACAGCGTCGCCACTGCCACCACCACCACACTCAAACCGCGACTAGTTACCATTTTGTTTATCACTAAGCCATGTCTTCGAATTTGTCCTCTAACGGCTACAACCAGAAATTATTACGGAGAGAATCGCTTGTGTCTTGACAATGTTGATTTCAATATGGCGGGGATTCAGGCAATTCAATATTCATGAGCTGGATAGGGCATTATCTCCGAGTTAGGTTATGTTAATGTGGTTGACGTCATACTTCGTCAGCCGTTGCTGCCCTCCCAGAGTTTTCTCGGTGATGGCGGAGTATAAATCGATGAATAAGTCTTTAGAAAAACTGAGTGAATGCTGACGCCGAGAGACTTGTCCCACGCATTGACGCAAAGGGAATCTTGGATTTGTCAATGGGATGTTTACCGTTCTAACTTTGTCCTCGAACATTGTGCTTAGGCTATTGGTTTTTTTTTTCACGGTCTCAACCTACTCGCACATGTGTATCGTTTTTGAATATCGTAAGTGTTATAGCGGGGCAGCTGTATTTAATTAAAGGTGCGGTTGTAAATGCTATTTAATAATTTATATGTTCATTTTTTATCTAGTTACACATCTTTGTTTGTGAGTATTCTATTTATTTATTTTTGTGTAACAGAAACGTTTTTATTTATTTATTTATTTATTTATTTATTTATTTAATTTATTTATTTATTTCCAAAGTTGATTGAGCACATGCATGTGGGAAGGGGGCGGCCGCGAGAAAGTAATGAACATAATCGAGAAAAAAGGAAAAAATAAATAGAACGATTAAATGGAATGCATTTCACGGTGCAAACGCGATACCACTTATTCCCGAATAGAAAACAAAATAATGAAGACAATAATAACAATAAAAATAGCAGAGACTATTTTTCAGTCTTCCTTTGATTAAACCATGACAACGCGTACGGCTTCGTTTTGGAACATATATATATATATATATATATATATATATATATATATATATATATATATATATATATTCCACCATTATCCTACTAGTGCGTCCACTTTTATCAGTTTCTGGACATCATTGATCTTCCTTTAGACATAATAACGTTATTTTGTCCAAGATTTCCCCCAGTTACGCCTCTGGGAGCTAAAGAGCAGGTAAAAACCGTATCTAGGGATAGGTTTTAAAATGCGATTAAGGCTAAATCCGTCGTAGCTTACATGGAAGGTATAATAATCTAAAGACATGCAAAACGATCAATTTTTGGAACCGTTTTGAATTTTATATGCGACCTTTCCAAGAGTGCACGTAGGGAATAATGTGTCACGTCCATTTATTAAAATAATGATTCACGTTACGTTTATCAAATATTTTGCATTTATTGTAAATTCACATTCACCATAAGTGCAAATTTCTCTCTCTCTCTCTTTTATCTATCTCTCACACGCGTGTGCACACGCAAGCATGCACACACATTCACTTGGTAAAGTTGATCAAACACTTTAAACAATTATTTGGTAAGACGAATGAAGTTAAACTGCGTGTCTGTCAATCGGCTCTAGGTAAAATTACTCACGCTGTCAGTTTTTTTTTTTTTCACATAACAACTTTTTAACCAAATATCTATGAGGGAGGTTGTTATAATATCTCCTTCATTTTTATTAAGAAAGGTCTACAATGATGATAAGCTGGACAAAAACTCTGCCCTTCTTTCTTTCTTTTTAGGTAATTCCGAACCGCCTTTTTTTTTTTTTTTTTTTTTAATTTTAAAAATTTTTTAACTGAATCTGTCAGGTGTAACGGACTGGCGAACAGAGACAGCTATCATAACATGACGGCGATTGCAACAGTTGAGATTACACCGCAATTGCCTCAGATGAGCTCTACTTACTTTTGGTTGCGATTGCGCTGGAAGAATAAGTAGAATGAGGGTTGGATTGCCAAATTCCAATAAACAACCTAAAGTAAAAACTTGCCTTAACTCGCAAGATAAAACACGAGGTAATGTAAGTAAGATAAATATTTTCATGGAAAGACACAGGTGACTTAAAGAGATAGCAACTGTTCATTTTGGCCAAAAAATGAATTTTCCTAGGGGCGAATGGCCAATTTTCCCATACTTACCAATGTTTAATGAATCCATTTCGACATTCATAGTTAGTCCTTGTTTTGTTTTTTCTGAAATATCCCAAAATAGAATCTTCTATCTTTTTTCCGAATCATTATTATTTTTACTATTTTGTAAAATACTTATTACAAAAAGACATATTTTACTGAAATTACAGAGATCAAAACGAAAAATAAAACGCTTTATTTTTACAATGAAATAATTAATGCACGCAAAACATGCAATCTGAACATTAATGAATACATAGCTGCTTGTAGTAATTAGGCAACAATTTTACTTGTTCTATTCTTATTCTTATTCTGAGCAAGTTCCACGTAAACAGGTTTAATTTTAAAGTTTTTTCTTTTTTTTTATATTGCATAACTCCAAAAGAAAATAAGTATAATTTAATAATTATCTCACTCACTCACCGTCACACAAACCAACACTTAGAGATTTTCAGTATTCCTGTTTCACTTTTAAGTTCTTTAAGGAAGATGGTTAAATGATAGAGAATAGAAACTATCTAAAGAACACGAAACATCAAGATATGGCAACGGTACATGTAAGTCGCCAATTTCAAATTGTATTCCTAAACGAAAAGCTAATGTGAAACATTTCCAAACAAGCGGAACTCGACTACAATTGTCGAATTTTTTCTTGCTGAATCTTGTCTTCTCACAAGTCGAATTCCAGCACGGATTATAAAAGACCGTTGGTCTTTGAACATCAAAAAGGCAGCTATGACCTTTGAAAAATATTTCCCATTCAGTGGTGATGAGATTCCACAATTTGAGTAAAGATTGAATCCCTGACATCTCACAAATAAGACTCTTCCTCACCAAGCCTGATAACGCACTATCAAAGAGTGCTCCTTTTCTAATTGTTACGCCGAACCTTCATAGTCGCGGACTGCAACAAACATCCTCTATCGCAGTTATTTCCAGTGATAGCGGCAAATTTCATGTAGTACACTTGGCCTGCGTCAGCGTCACAGTCAGGATAATTGCCGGTTAGTGTCCATCTTGCACAATGGGCGTACCACCACCCAGCGTCTAGAATATAAATACAAATATTAGAGAATGTACATGGGCATTTCTGTATGTTTGCATTTGTTTGTGGAGTGATCGAGTGATGGTCTAGAGGCATCAGAGAGAGGAAAACCATTTAAATGTAAATTCAAGCACAATAAAAACACGAAAGCAGACAGGCGAAACTGAAGCACAGAAAGAAATATCACCCAAAAAGTTGATCCACGGCAGGTGTCCAAAAAATGGGAATAGCAGAATCGAACGAAAGTTGCAAACGCCTAAGAACAGTTTAATAGAGTTGATAAAAGAAGCTAGAAACACTTGGTACATGTGCACAGACACAGATAATCATAGAAATAAACAGTGTTTAGTAGATAAACCCCCTTTTACAAGAAGAACATAGGCAGAAGAATTAGGAACACTGAGCACTGGAGCCTAGGCCCTGTCATTTACCACCATTAAAGACGTACCTACCGAAATGGGAAACACAGTCGCTATCATCAGTATCTCTGGTCTTGAATTCCCAACCAACAATTTCTGTAAGGAATGCATCGCTAGAAGTGTTGTACGACTCAACCCCAATATCAGCAACCCCATATTTCTGGCTCTCATCTTGGATTCGAAACAGGTTCCATCTGACGTAGTAGTGGTTCCCATTGCAGGACAGCATGTCAATCTGCATGGAGTAATCCCCCTGATTGGTTAACGCGTAGAGAGCCTCGTTTCCAATCCAAAACTGCTCACCTGGGTCACCGAAGCCATTTTTATATGCAGTCCAGTTTCTATCGAAAGACATCGTGCTGTCGTATCTCCTCATTACAACAACCCATCCGCTGTCACAACATACATTCTTCTCGCCAAAACCGTCTATGTAGACGGTAGCAAGACCAGCACCATCTGTAAAAATGAAGATATTTCCTTTAAACCGAATACGGTGGGTGATCATCAAAGCGAATAGTAACCATTAATGATTTAATTACCAAAAAGATTATCGGGTACCTTTGAAAACGTGCCAACATGAAAACTTGAAACTATTACATCTTCAAAGAAAAAGGGCACAAACTTACCAACGTCATTGCAGTCTTTTTCTTTCTGAAAAAAAAAAAAATCAACAAATGACGTGCTTTGCTGTAAACTCAACTTACTGGATCCGATCTTTTTTACAAATCACCTTGGACAACCTGATTTTGGAACCTTTTTCACATGGTTTGAACCAGTTTTAGTTTTAAATGTGGCCGCCATACAGAAACACTATATAAAAAGTAAGCTTGCCTTTACATCGTTAATTTCACTAAACACAGCTTCGTTCGAAAATTTAAAGTCTTAATCCTGTTACGTTTGTTACGATGGGAAATTTCAAAAGATATGGGGATTTCTTTCGCTGGGTCTGTATGTTGTGTATAGGAAGGCAGCCGTACACATTAATTCTTCTGCTTGATCAATATGAAAGGTACTGGGTATATCTAATAGACGGGTACGACACGGCCATATTGTTCTGAACTGTCATTCTGTAGGATTTTACAAGATGGACATACAGACATACAAATACCACTTAATGAAAATTCTTAGTAGGTTACCAGACATCACCGTTAAATGTCAAGTAAGCAATGTATGGATATGCATGCAAAGATCTCAAAAGTTCAGGCCTACNTAACAACTTTTTAACCAAATATCTATGAGAGAGGTTGTTATAATATCTCCTTCATTTTTATTAAGAAAGGTCTACAATGATGATAAGCTGGACATAAACTGTGCCCTTCTTTCTTTCTTTTTAGGTAATTCCGAACCGGCTATTTTTTTTTTTTTTTAATTTTAAATTTTTTTAACTGTATCTGTCAGGTGTAACGGACTGGCGAACAGAGACAGCCATCGTAACATGACGGCGATTGCAACAGTTGAGATTACACCGCAATTGCCTCAGATGAGCTCTACTTACTTTTGGTTGCGATTGCGTTGGAAGAATAAGTAGAATGAGGGTTGGACTGCCAAATTCCAATAAACAACCTAAAGTAAAAACTTGCCTTAACTCGCTGGATAAAACACGGGGTAATGTAAGTAAGATAAATATTTTCATGGAAAGACACAGATGACTTAAAGAGATAGCAACTGTTCATTTTGGCCAAAAAATGAATTTTCCTGGGGTAAATGGCCAATTTTCCCATACTTACCAATGTTTAATGAATCCATTTCGACATTCATGGTTAGTCTTTGTTTTGTTTTTTCTGAAATATCCCAAAATAGAATCTTCTATCATTTTTCCGAATTATTATTATTTTTACTATTTTGTAAA